TGGCGCCTCTGCCGTGGCGGGCGGGCGCGGCTGCGGCGGAGGCAGGTGCCCGGGCCGAGCCGCGCGGGTGCCGGGGCCGAGGGTTGACGCCGCTTTTCTGGACTTCGGCTTTGTCTTGTTTTTTATCCGTTTCGGCGGGGAGGCACAGGAAGACAGGTGGAGCAGAGCGAAGAACGGAGCGGAGACAACACGAAAAGCAGCGTTCAGAGGTCCGGCCCTGGTCCCAGGGCCGAGCCGCGCAGTTGGCCAGGCCGGGGGCTGGAGTCGCAAGGGAGGAACAAACGACGCTTCCTCCGCAGCCTTCGGGGGCCGGCCCGCGGGCCCCCGCCTTCGCCCTCGGGGAGCGGCCCGTCGTCGGGCGGCCCCTCCTCCCTGCGGGCGATGCCCCGCGCGCGGGGCCTTCGGGTGCGTTTGCGAAGCGGCTTCGGGTGCCGGGGAAGTGCTCGGAGGGCGGATGCTCTGCTCGCTGTGGATGATGGCCCGCGCGGCGCGCAGTGGCAAGCCTCGCAGTGGCAGGCCTCTCACCTTTCCCCCCCCCCCCCCTTACTGCTGGCGGACCCTCGGACCCTCCGACCCTCGAACCTGGACGCACCTCCGACCCTCGGCCGACTCTCGGTTTCACCGTCGAAGTTCAGGAGGGGAAAAAACACAGACACAATGATTCGTCGACTCCCAGGAAGATATGGGAATATATTGGAAGTGAAAGGGGGAAGACAAGAGCCCAGAAAATATTGGAAAACATGGGGGATCCTGTTATCTGTGTGTATTTATCTGTGTGTCCTAGGGCCCCTTCAGAAGTCGACGTCGCCGTCGAAGGTCCCCGAGGCTCCTCCAGGTCGTCGCCGCCGCCGCCGCCGCCAGACGGCCCGCGGGCCTCTCGCCGCCGACGGCCCTCCGCCGGCGCCCCTTCGGGGGTGGGGCCCCCGGTCGTCGGGCGGCCCGCCCTGCCTGCGGACGCCGCTGCCCCGCGCGCGGGGGGCCTGCCGGGGGCCGAGGGCCTGGTAGGCGAGCAGGGGCGAGGCGTCCTGGCGTGCCTGCACAGTGCGCATAGAATACCCCAAAAGTGCCCCAAGAAGGCCAACACATATTCAGAAACTAGTCCCCAGACTATGTTTGGGCCATCTTTTGACTATGTTTGGGGTATGTGTTATTGGTCGTCCAAGATCCCCCTGTGGGGGGACACGCCCGATGTGACGCTGGAGATGAGGGCCACTTACGGTGCCGTTTTTTTATACATGCTCCCTATGCGGATCATGTATTAAAGATGCAGGGGCTCAGTATTGAAAACAACGGTGAGTTCATGCATAAGTGCATTCAGGAAGTAGTCATGCATTAGCAATCCTATATTTCTGAACCAAATCTCATGTATTAAAAACTGCCCTGTGGGCCTGCCGAACAGTGTTCTGAGAACCTTTTCTGTGGTCTCCACGGAATGTTCTCAGAGCATGTCTGGCTTGGACGGTCTTGTTTTCACACATCGGGCTCATTCTCCAAGAACGCTGTTTTTGTTATCAGCGCATGTAGGGGCTCTAAGAACGTGTCGCGGCAAACCTATAGGAATGCCGGGATGGTCGGTCCCTGCTCAATGGATGCGGGTACGGACAGAACCCCCACCCTGACATGGCGATCAGTGACTTGTCCGTTCTCGGTTCTCGAGAGGGCGCCGCGGCCGTCATTATCCAGGCCTGCGCCCGCCAGGTGGGGGCCCGAGGTCGTTTCCACGAAACCACGTTTCACTGAAGGGGGCTCTGTCCATCCCCGGATGGATGGCCCTCACGACGCGCGTGAGCCCAGGGCGTGTTTGGCTCCAGCCCCCCCGGATGGGGTCGGAGCACATGGTGTCGGAGGACCGCGCCGCATCGCCGATGCACCGCCGATGCATCGGCGATGCGGCTCGATGTGTAGCTCGATGTTCTCCACGCCGACGTCGCCGATGCGTCGCCGACGTCGGCGTTGCATCGCCGACGCATCGGCGATGCGCTGGCGACGTGGGTCGACCTTCCGACCCCATCCACTCTCAGGAGCGACAGAAGGACGTACACGTTCACGTACATGAATCCACGCCGGTTTCGAGAGCACGCATTGCGCACATGTTCGTACAACGTGGCTGGTCTCGCGGATCGAGGGGCCGTGTTCATGTACATAGCTCCCTATACTACGTTCATGTCGATCATGTTTATGACCATGTTCATGATCGATGTTCATGTCGATCATGTTCATGTTCATGATCATGTTCATGTACATGTGGCCGTCGAGCATGTTCATGATCGACGGGCGCGTACGTCATTTGTGTGCTCCCTATACTCGGATCCACTCCGGGAGGTCTCCAGGGAGGAGCCTCGCGGCGACGTCCGTAGGCCCAGGACGTGCTCAGCCCCGTCTGGCGGCGAAGGCTGCACACAGAGCCACTGCCCCGGGCTGGTCGGGCCCCTCCTGGGCCGAGGAGCTGCGTCTACGCTGAGGTCGGGCGTGTCCCTCGACAGGAGGGATACTCATTCAAGAATAGTCAACAACATAGTCTGGGGCCTAGTTTCTGATATAAGTTTGCCATTTTGGAGTATTGTTGGGGGTATTACTGATATGTTTTTTGCCATGTTGAAGTATTGTTGTGGGTATTTGAAATTGTTCGCCCACAATCCCCCTGCAGAGAGACAGGCCCGACCTGAGTCTACGCCCTCCTGGCCTGGCCAGGAGGGCGTGGCGTGTACGCCGCTGCTGAATCCTGGATATGCCTGGCGAGGGAGCAGTGGATCTGCATAGATTGCGTCGCCCTGCCCAGCGCAGCCCCTCCGATAGCACGCAGCCTGTCACGGCCCCACTTGAGTCACGCTGGAGACCGGTTTCTTGACATCTCCTGGCAACACACGGCGTGACGGGCTGGTTACGTCACGATTCGCGCCAGTGCCGTCTGGGAATGCCCGTGGAAGGCTAATTCCTGGTCGGCGCCGCCGCGAATCGCGACTTGACCAGGGAGGAGGCGGGGCCGTTCACGGGCAATCTTGCGAATGATGAGCACATGTGCTCTTGCCTGCGTCGCATCGACCGGCCTCCGTGGACACGCACACGTATCACGTGGGCGCCAGCACCGAGTCTGTGAGGATCACCCAGTCTGCGAGTCTGTGAGGATCCAGTCCTCCAAGGTCTTAGGAGATCAAGCGGAGCTGAGTTCGTTTTTCTCCTCCGCAGCACTGGCTCCATGTTCATCCGTAGCTGTTTTGGCTCAGGCCATCTCGAGTCGGGCCCCTCAGGAGCGAGCGCATATCGGCCAGAGGCCACACGAGGCACCCCAAGAGGTCGGCAGGCCGCAGTCATGCCGATGGCTGAGCCGGACGTCGAGGTGCCAGAGGGGGAGGTCAAGAAGGGAGCGAAGCTCTTCAAGGCGAAGTGCGCCCAGTGCCACACCATCGAGAAGGGCGGCAACGCCAAGCAGGGCCCACCGCTGTGGGGCGTATTCGGGCGCCAGTCCGGGACCCTGGAGGGATTCGCGTACTCCGAGGCCAACAAGAACTCGGGCATCATCTGGTCGCACAAGCACATGTACGAATACCTCGTCAACCCGAAAAAGTACATCCCGGGCACGAAGATGGTCTTCGCGGGCATCAAGAAGGAGAAGGAGCGCGCGGACCTCATTGCGTACATGGCGACCTGCGGGTGATCGTTCATGTGTTGTTGGGGCAGTGGCAGGTTGCCTGCCCCAGACGCAGCCATCCACGGCGCACACTTGCAGGCGTCCTGCATTCGGCGCTGGCTATCGCATTTTGCCGACTCCTCAGTTTTTGGAGAGTGGCCAGGTGGGCCTGAAAGGGCGCGGCCCGTCCGAATGGGTTTTGCGGCAGGAGGATAGGAAGGATGTGGAGGGATGGTGGATGAAGCAGAAGGAGCCGTGAGGGGAGAAAGGTGAGGACGAGTGGCCTGTTCGAAGTCCAGCTGCTCCTCTGACTCTCGTGCAGGGGTGTCGCGCTTTCCTCTCGGCTGCCGTGCGCTGGCGCTGACTGGCGGTGAGTCCCGTCTTCGTGAGGCTTCGGTGCAGAATGCGCCCGTGCGGGTGCGGTAGCAAAAAATCTCAGCTGCAGTTTCACCTCCATCTGAAACCTTATGCTTCATCGCCCCCTCTTCTCACACAGCCTGCGGTCAGCATCACTGTTCCAGGTTTGAAGAATCATGCGGCGGCAGAGACCAGAGGCGGCCGGCACCGTCACGGCAGGAACTTGCCGCATCGTACAGCGCGACGGGGGAATAATGATTGGCCGGCCAGACCCGTGGCCAGGATCGGGACGACCGACATGGGTACGGAAAGAATGGGTACAATGCCCAACAGCAGTTCCTGTTCATTTTGAACAGGACTCGCTGTCCGCGCCGCCGCGGTCTGTATCTATTTGAGACAGAAGGCCGCCTGCCCAACAGAGGCGGTTGTTGGTTTTGGACAGCATTTGTTGTTGGGCATTGTACCCACTTTTTCCGTACCCATTTCGGGCGTCCAAACAGGAGATCAGTGCAATTGAGTGTAATCGGTGCCACCATCGCCTTCGTGTCGCCCATGACTTCTGCTTGACGGGTGACATTTGGGTCAGCAAGTTGCCCGCGGCAAGTGCCGCCGCCCCTGACAGCCCAGCACCCCGGACCGAGGGCCTGTTCGGGGGCGTACGGGAGGCCCCAGCGGGTGACGCCTCGTGGGAGAGCCGTTACACGTGACACACTCTTCCGCGCCGTGTCGGGGGGCAATTTGCCATTCCCGTTGTCTTCTTCCCTCTCTTCCGTTCTTCTTTGCTCTCCTGAGGAGCAGTTCTGGGGGTTCTTTTGTGCCCCTTTGGGGCCGCCCTGGGGTCGTCTGTCGTCAAGACTAGAAGAACCCCGAACCCCAATAACACGATGAAGACGTGGCCTCACTTAGGTCCTCGTCTTCGCATTCTAAATCATGCATCTGGGCGGTTTGGTCTGGTACATCAGCAGAAAAAAACCTATCCCTAATGTTCTTGGCCCTCCTAACTTAGGTCCCCTCCCGAAGGGGTAGGGGTCCTTTTACTGCTTATAAGTCTTGTGCCGTCTTTGGGCTCTCTCGAGCTCTCTTGGGGTCCTCTGTGCCGTCTGGGTGGTCACTTGCGGCCGTCGTGGGGCCGTCTTAGGGCCGTCGAGGGGCTCTCTAAGGCCATTTTGCGTCCCTCCAGACCAAGCTCGGGGCTGTTTGGGGGCCGTTCTGGGCCAATTTGGGCACTCTGGGGCTGTCTTAGGGCTGTCTTGGAGGATTACCCGTCCAGTTTAGGGCCCTCTCGGGTCGTCTTTGCGCCGTCTTGGAGGCCATGTTGGGCCGTCTGGAGCTGAAGGGAACCTGAAGAGTTGGAAGGCAACCTTTCGACTAGGTTTAAGCCTTTCAACACCGATACACGATTTTGGCTCCTTCGGGTCCTAACTACTGGCGGTCATCTTGTGATTATCTTGTGATGTGGGGTCCTCTTGGGCCGCCTTGAGGCCATGTTGGGCTTGTCTTAGGGCCACTTTGGGCCGTCTTGGAGGCACCTGGGGCAAATCTGGCGGTCGCAGTTCCTTGCCTTGGCCGTCTTGGAAGGTCGCGAGTTTACATAAATTGCATCCTACAGGGAATCGTAACCTCGGGAGCACGGACGTGTCGTTCTTTACAAGGGATCGTGGCCTCGGGAACGCGGTTCAAATGCATGAGCCGTGGCCTCGGGAGGCAGCGGATCCACTGTGTTTGTTCGAGGCATCGTGGCCTTGGGAGAGCGGGTCCACCGCTTCTTGCCGTGGAGAGGGTGGTGGTGGTGATGCTCGCGCGTGGTCCCGTTGAAGATTGCAGAAGCCCTCCCGGACAGCCCTTGGTATTCTACCACGCCTTAATTTGCCAGGGGGCACGATGTCGGATGTTGCCCCTCAGCCAGATAGTGGTCGACGGGGCCAGTCCCCATGCTGTCTGTTAGCTTGCCAGCAGCCCTCTCCTCTGGAAAGCACTGGGAGGCACGTCCAAACCACCGTTCCTTTACCTGTTTGCCAGCGCTGTCCCCATGCCACGGACTGACCATTTGTTTTGTGGTCGTCCCTCCCCTTGCCTGCTTCTTTCTCCCCGCTGCACCATCATCTGTTGTCCTACCCTTTCCCTTTTTCTTTTTCCCCTCCTCGTCCTCCTCATCCCTCCCTCCATTCATCCCTCCCTCCCGCTCTATCATCCGGTGACCTGCCCCTCTTCATCATCCGCTTTCGCCTGATATAGATATGTGGAAACGCACATTGGTGTCCTGATGTGTGTCCGAACGTGAGTTGACTTGTGTGTCCAATGCACACCGAAGATGGCACCTTCCCCAACCCAAACTCATTATCACGCGAACGGTGGCCCATGAGGCATGTTTTGTCATCATCCGCAGCACTGGCTCCATGTTCAGCCGTAGCCGTTTTGGCTCAGGCCATCTTGAGTCGGGCGCGCAGATCGGCCAGAGGCCACACGAGGCACCCCAAGAGGTCGGCAGGCCGCAGTCATGCCGATGGCTGAGCCGGACGTCGAGGTGCCGGAGGGGGAGGTCAAGAAGGGAGCGAAGCTCTTCAAGGCGAAGTGCGCCCAGTGCCACACCATCGAGAAGGGCGGCAACGCCAAGCAGGGCCCACCGCTGTGGGGCGTATTCGGGCGCCAGTCCGGGACCCTGGAGGGATTCGCCTACTCCGAGGCCAACAAGAACTCGGGCATCATCTGGTCGCACAAGCACATGTACGAATACCTCGTCAACCCGAAAAAGTACATCCCGGGCACGAAGATGGTCTTCGCGGGCATCAAGAAGGAGAAGGAGCGCGCGGACCTCATTGCGTACATGGCGACCTGCGGGTGATCGCTCGTGTACTGTTGGGGCAGTGGCAGGTTGCCTGCCCCAGACGCAGCCCTCCACGGCGCACACTTGCAGGCGTCCTGCATTCGGCGCTGGCTATCGTATTTTGCCGACTCCTCAGTTTTTGGAGAGTGGCCAGGTGGGCCTGAAAGGGCGCGGCCCGTCCGAATTGGTTTTGTGGCAGGAGGATAGGAAGGATGTGGAGGAATGGTGGATGAAGCAGAAAGAGCCGTGAGGGGAGAAAGGTGAGGACGAGTGGCCTGTTCGAAGTCCAGCTGCTCCTCTGACTCTCATGCATGGATGTTGCACCTTCCTCTCGGCTGCCGTGCACCGGCACTGACTGACGGTGCGTCTAATCCTCGCGAGGTTGTAGCAAACAGACTCAGCTGCAGCTTCACTTCCACCTGAAGCCTTTCTTTTCAACGCCGCCCCTCTCCATAAGATACCTGAGGTCAGTATCCTGTTCAAGGTTGAACGAATCAGGCGGTGACAGGGACCAGAGGCGACCGGCACCGTAACGGCAGAAACCTGCCGTATCTTGCAGTGTGACGGGGGATGGATGAATGTCTGGCCAGATCCGTGGCCAGGAGAGCAGTGCAATTGGTGCCACCATCATGAATGATCGTGTCGCCCGTGACCTCCACTTGACGGGTGGCGTTGGGTTAGTAAGTTACCTGCGGCTAGTTCCGCCCCCCTGCCAGCCAAGCACCTTGGGTGAGGACTGTTCGGGAGCGCACGGGAGGCTATCGCGTGTGCCACCTCGTGTCTCGATCTACGCCGTTCCGGGGGGTGTTTTCACATTTTCGTTGTTGTCGTTCCTTTCTCCTGTTCATCTTCGCTCTCCTGAGGGGCAGTTTGCGGGTTGTCTTGCGCCACTTGTTTGGGCCGTGTTGGGCCGTGTTGGGGCCCTCTCGAGCTCTCTTGGGGCCCTCTGTGCCGTCTGGGGGGTCTTGTGCGGCCGTCGTGGGGCCGAATTTGGGCCGTCGAGGGTCTCTCTGAAGCCATCTCGTGTCCCTCTGGACCACGCTTGGTGCTCTCAATTTCTTCAACAGCTCAACACAGATGCGCGATTCTAGCGCCTTCGGGTCCTACTGGCGTTCATCTTGTGAGTCTCCTGTGCTGTCGTGGAATCCTCTTGGGCCGCCTGGAGGCCATGTTGGGCCGTCTTTGGGCCCCTTCGGGCGGCCCGACTGTTCTCCAAACAGTGCCCGCACTTCGAGGTGCTGGCATGCCTGCTTTTAACTCGGCATCGCTCGGACGTCTGCATCTTGTCTCGGCGAGGGTCATCGAGGAGCATCCTGGACGCACGTGCTTTTACCACGCGCATGCCGAAATCCTATAAACAATACCTCACGTTTCGTCGGGACTTCAAATCGAAAGTTCAAGTAGCATGTAACAACACACCAATGGTTTTGCAACATGAGCTTCCCCCCCCAAAAAAATGCGCGTGTTCTCGCGAAGTGTGAAGAACACCCGTAGGTGTCCTCAACATTTTCCAATGCGACCAAACGAGCCGCCTGCGCGCACATATCGGAACTATTCAAACGCTATTGCGCCTGCTGCGGGGCCCGACCCCTGCCACATCATACCATGCTGGCCACTCGCGCGCGTCGGCCTCGAGCATGCTGATGTTTCCAAAGCTTTCATCACCGACGCGAGAACACCACCGTCATCGGCGTGATCAGCATCGGCTCTTTCATTGGCTTTGCTGTCGTCATCGTCACCATTGCCACCCTCATCGCTACTATCATCATCGTGTCTGCCGCGGCCGACGTCGCACTGATGCAGCGCCCGCCTGGGTCACCGACTCGCACTAAAGTGCCCGCGCGGCAGCGTGGCCTGCGAGACGTGCCCGGAAGTGCCCAGCGGTCAGCGGAACGATGGCCGCGTCGGCCACGCCAAACTAGCTGGCCGCTTTTCGCGCGAGCCTGTTCGCGGTTGCGCGGCCGCATCGATACGTCAGCCAGCGCCAAGCATTCAGCGCAATCGCCGCCGCAGGGACTTCGCAGACCAAAATGCGGGTGCTTTGGTGGGATGGTAGCGCGAGCCGTGGAGCTGACAAGTCCAAGTTCCTCAAAATTCATTGCACAATTTGGATGATGCTTCGCAGCTTACACCGCATAGGTCATATGTCATGGCTCACACCACATCGCTTGCACCGCATTGCTTACACTACACTGGTGAAACCACATATGTTGTGACGGCTTGTCCCGACGCTCAATTGAAGTACAACCAAAATGATGCCAGCTATGCCTGGTTCCCCTCCACCCAATAATCCCAACCATCAAATATCGAACATCCCTTTGCCAGCCAATTGTGACGAAGGGCAGGCGCGCGTCGTCGGTGGTTGGCTGAGATCATTCAGCACATGTTTAGATTCCGTGAGGATGCCAAAATAGAATGTGCCTCGACCGTGTGAACTGAAAAAAACGGTCTTACGACATGATTCCGCGCGCCTGCGAAGTCTTTGGAAGCCCATAGGTTTGTTGCGACGGACTCGAATGCGACTGAACGGCCCTCGCGCGCACGCGTTGCAAACATAAGACCGCCCCTTTGCGCTTGTTTTTTTTTTTTTTGGGGGGGGGGGGGGGGGGGCACGATCCTAGAACAAAAGTACCACGTGGGCCACTCGCGCCCGTTGGCCACGCGCGCATGCCAAACCTCCCCCTCAACCTTCATGTCTGGCGCGTGGACACCATCATCGCCACCAGCATGATCAGCAGCGGCGCCGCCATGTGCCTTGCCGTCGTCATCGTCATCGTCGACACCAGCATCGTTTCTTTCACCATCGTGTCTTCCGTCGTCGGCTTTTTCGTTATTTTGGGAAGACATCGGGTTTGCCAACATGTTCACCAAATCCAGCCCCAACGGGCCTCTCGCGCGTGCGTGCTGGAATCATTCGAACGCTCTTGCGCGCTTTTTGGGGGGCGCGATCCCTGCCAAACAATACTCTGCGGCCCACCCGCGCCCGTCGGCCGCGCGCGCACGTCGAGATCCTGCCAACACTCTCACCAGCGACGCGTGGACACCACATCGCCACCGGCGTGATTTCCGCAGCGGTGCCGCCCTTGGACTTCCTTTTGGCATCGTTACCATTATCAGCGTGCCTGAAGCCGTCGGGGTCGCCCCGAGCGCCCGCCCGCGAGCCACCGACTCGCACCGAAGTGCCCGCGGGTCTTTTTTGTTGGCGGCTCCCAGGCGAAGGTCAGGAAGCGGGGCATCGAACGGGGCGCGAAACGAAGATAATTAGCCGAAGAGACGCATGCACATGCAAGGGACAAAATGACCCAAATTAAACACCGAAGACCGACGCCGACATCCCGGCGGGTGGGGACAAACCCGCGGGTCGACGCGGCGTGCCAGACGCGCTGGGAATGTGTCGGCTGTCAGCGCCACCGCGGCCGCGCCGGTCGCGCCAGGCTAGCGGGTGGCTCTACGCGCGGGCCCGCGCTCGCGAGCTCGGCCGCAGCGTGGCGCCGGCCAGCGCCAAGCCGTCATCGCAGTCGCTGGCGCATCGGTTTCGCAAGCAGTGGATGATTTGGATGATTTCGCGAGTTGTTTGGATGTGATGATGGCACGTTGTGACGGGTTGTTTGGGTGATCTCGCGAGCAGTGGAGGTGACAGCCCAGTGTGAACAGACCTTGGTTTCACCACCACCGCACCCGTGTTGCAAACCGACGGACGGTTCGGCGCGATGATGGCAAGAGCAGTGGAGCTGACAATCCAGTGTGAACAAGAATTAATTCTCTTTTCTAAGAAGAGAATAGACTCTACCCCCCCCCCGGACTCAACGCTTCCCCCAGGGATAGTATACTTTCACACACACACACATATATATATATATATATATATATGTATTCTACACAATCGTCCATCCTAAATATGAAATCGTACCATCCCAGGCAGGCCGGTTTCCCCCCCCCCCCCTGAGGGTCCCTTGTAAAAGAAAAAAACATTATGCGGTGACATCTTTTGTTCTAACATAGCACTTTTTCACTAATCCCTTGCAAAAAACGAGACGAAGTGCACACGCGCGCGTCGTCGCGCGCGCATGCCGAAATCCTTCAAAAACCTGCGGTGCCGGAAGGATTTCGCAATCGAGTTTCCAAAAAAGCATACAAAAACAAATGGTTTCGCAATATTGATTTGCTAAAAAAGCTTCCGCGCGAGCTCTTGCGGAATCTTAAGACAACCATCGGTTTTTCAAGACTTTAACAAAATGCTACCAAACGGGCATGTCGAAATCTGTCGAACGCCCTTGCGCGTGTGCCGTCGCGAGAATCCTCTGCAACAAATGGGGCGAAGTGCAGACGCGCGCGTGGTCGCGCGCGTACGCCGAAATCCTTCAAAACCCATCGGTTTCGGAAGGATTTCGAAATCGCACGCCCACGTCGTTGTCGTCGTCGTCGTCGCCTACGTCGTCCTCTGTCTTTCCTCGTGTTCGTCGTCGTCGTCCTCTTTGGCGTCGTGGTCGTTTCCGTCGTCGTTGTCGCCGTGGTCGTCCTTCCTCCTCCTCCCTCGTCGTCGTCCCTCCTATTTCGCCGCCGTCGTCGTCGTCGTTGTCGTCGTCGTCTTCCCTCCTCCCTCGTCGTTGCCGTCGTCGGCGTCGCCGTCCTTCCTCCTTCGTCGTTCGCGTCGTCGCCGTCCTCCCTCCTCCCTCGTCGTTGTCGTCGTTGTCGCCGTTGTCGCCGTCGTCGTCCTCCCTCCTCCCTCGTCGTCGTCTTCGTTGGCGTCGTCGTCGTCGTCGTCGTCGTCGTCGTCGTCGGCGTCGGCGTCGTCGTCGTCCTCGTCGTCGTTGTCGGCGTCGTCGTCGTCGCCGCCGTCGTCGTCGTCGTCGTCGTCGGCGTCGTTGACGTCGTCGTCGTCGTCGTCGTCGGCGTCGTCGTTGTCGTCGTCGTCGGCGTCGTCATCGTCGTCGTCGTTGTCATCGTCGTCGGCGTCGGCGTCGGCGTCGTCGTCGTCGGTGTCGTCGTCGTCGTCGTTGTCGGCGTCGTCGAAGTCG